AAATTACGAGAAATATATTCATGCGCTAATAACGAGATTGAAAAAGTCATTTTTATCATTCATTTTTATCATTCAAAATATTATTGAAAACCTCTCTACAAAACAATTAGAGCTATACTGCTATTTTGCAAATATTAATTAAAATTATATATAATAAAATTATTATGTATATTAAAATATCCGATATAAATATATTTACCAATCTCTTTGTAATTATGATAATAATAAGTTAGTGTCTCAAAAATATGAATTATTCGCTGCAACTTGTATTTCAAATAACATAATGTTTATGCAAAAATTAATAATTCATTAACATCAATAGTGTGTGACAATATTGTATTAGAAACATTCCATTTTTCTAAACTAGGTAGCCTTCATAATAATTTCTAAAAATTTACCTTGAGCGCGCGCGTAAAGAGTTATTCACATTTTGACGGTATTTTGTCAGCCAAATTGATATTGTTAAACAATGAAGTCAATCAAGTTGTCAGTACTCTCTAGTGGTCAATGTGTGAAGAAACAATAAAATTTAATTAACGTGCACTATTTTTATATTTCTTATATATGTATTTTTATCCTTATTTTAAATAATCAGTTTTTATTTCTAATATTCACATAATTATTAATCATTGTTATCAAAAGTGGTTATTCACTTAATTAATAAACTATTTATAAACTTGTTTTTTAAACGTATGACTTCTTAATATTTTCACAATTCTAACTTATACATAAATTTCACCATCATTTAAACTCTCAATTGCAAATACTTATAAATAATTAAGTAAGAACTGCAAAGAGAGAATAGATAAAAATAAAATCAGTATGGAAATCAGAAAAAAACAAGAAATGTTTTACAAAATTCATGAATATTATTGATATTGTTAATATCTTTCTCCATTATAGCAATATTTTAATAAAACTTTATTTTAAAAATCTCTTCTTCCATAATATATGTAAATTCTTTGATAAATACTTCATGGAAAAAAATGTTTGGTTGAATTAACTAGAATTCTGGTGAATGAATTTTTGTTAAGAATTTTTGTTAAATCTACTAGATTTCTAATTAAATCTACTAATTGTTGATTATTTCAACTAGAATTGTAATAAATTTAACCAGAAATCTTGTAAATTTAACTAGAATTCTGAAGCGTTTATTTTCCACCAAAATTTTAGTTAATTCAACCAAACATGTTTTTCTGTGTTAAAACAAATAATCGTTATAAGGGTAGTATACGTATTATTACGATTCTGTACATATTTAAATAATGCATAATTAATTTTGCTTACCCACCGGAATATTGCAGTTTACTCCATCCGTTGCAAGTTACGTCTTACAAACAAACTCCATCAAGGAAAGGACGAACACCGGAAATGAGCAGTTAATTACTCTATCCAATGATATTCGATATCTGCCACGCACGTCATTTCCGAAGAACATAAATTTCTGCAATACATGAAACAGAGAACATGAAATAGAACGCATTTAATGCCATAACGTGTTTCGTGCATATAATTGTGGTGCCGATTATTATTATGTTCAATGATAAACTTTTCATTAGATGCGCAATAGTACTTCAATATTATTCTTTTAAATCAAGAATTACGTTTAGAGGCCTCAAGAGTATTCAAATTTACTATAGATTGTGCACATAATATGACGATTATCTGTTATTTTTTTTCAATATTATTATATAGTAGCAATTCTGCGTATTTCAATAAAATTGCATACAAATATTATATATTCAATTTTGTTATGCATAAATATTTTTGTTAAGTGCACACTCAAATTGATTATATTATTATTATTATAAGTAGTATTATGGTTGCATGAGATTTATTTGATGAAATTGATATACATTACAACTCTATCGAAATGATAAGCTATATCTAGCTACGATCACACGTAGTTCACTTGAGGCAACTGACAAACATTTGCACTTTAAATACACGGAGCTTTCCAACAAGGTACACAGTGATCATTTGTGCATTTTGTACAAATTTTTCAAGTCTATTGATTGGGATAGAGAGATCCGAGGACCTCTCTGTTCTGTACATATTTGTCGTACGACAAAAACGCATAAATGAAAAAGCACTCTTAGAATCTGAACACAAGAATTGTCGTAATACTTACTTAGAGACTTAAGTAGACGTAATGCACAAGCTTTGGCATATCATATACAACTTATTGCCATCTCTTGGAGACATGGCACTGTCATAAATGTCTCTTGTTGGAAAACACAATATATTATATCTCCCACAATATATTATATCCAGTAGTAGTTTTTCCAGTAGCATAAATATGTTTTATATATATTGTTACAATAATATTTCTAATGCTATACCTAACGAAAAGTAAATTAATTCCTTCAATTTTTTCGAGAAAACTTAATTATTTTCGCATGCAAATAGCATTGAAGCTTATACCAGCATCGCGGTGTCATACAATACTGTTGCTAATTATCGAACAATATTGATGTGACAAAAACGATGAATCCACAATAATTCATTCGTTTCAGCCATCATCCGTCACTGTATTCTGTATGTACGGTATCTGGAAAAAATTCGAGCATACTTTTAATGGGTAAAATTCGCAATTCCTTGCAAAATTGCATTCCAAACGTCGAAAATGTCACAATGTGAGTAATATTCAGACATTTTAATATTAAAATAATTTAAGATATAAATTGACGTGCACGATAAAAGAATTTTGATTGGATTACGTCTTTTTTATATCGACAATTCAAATGTAATCAAATGCAAACTTTATTGATATACACTGCATCCAGTGATGGAAACAAATGCACGAGTGATCTTAGAATTGGAATACCTAATATGCAGCATTCAGTGGAAAGAAAGAAAGTCTGCTAATCACTTCAATTCTCTCGTAAGAAGACACACAGACCATTTTGCGTATCTATGATATCGAAATGTTATACTCACCCGTATTATGTGACCGATCGTAATGGACAAAACGGCAATGATGGCGAAGATCCGCGACAACCGACATTCTCTGGCATCCATTCGTTGTCTTAGTCGCTATTTCCAATAGAAATTCGGACTCGCTGTGCATTTTTGATGGGTGAAATCGGCGATTAATTACGGAGCAACTAGATCTTAGTGCTTCGGCTCGCGCCGTTGAAACTGTCATGGCTGCACTTGCGCGCGCAAAGTTCCCGCCCTTTCGGTGTACAGTAATTTAAGATATAAATAATTTGGATTTGCGATAAGAATCAGATATTTTCTACACACTTTTCAACAAGCTACGATAATTGTCGATGTTATCCTGAATGTTTTTGGTAGAGATTTTTATCGATATGTAAGTATTTACGTATAAAAAATGTTCTTGTTTAAATTTCAACCTTGCGCCTGCGTTTTATTTCATTAATCGTTAGATGCGTCACGTGATATCGAGTGAAACGATGATGTACCAACGTAGATCGCGTAGTACCAACCGCAGATCTAATATTCTATTCTATTAAACAAGTCAACAGTTTTTCTCAATGTATATCCAATTAGCATAAAATGCTTATCAAAACTGCTTTTTTTGTTGAACAGATTTATTTTTATTCTAAAATTTATGTTATCTTATAAATTTGCAAATAAATATTTTTTTCATTTCGTTATTATTATTATTATTAATTCAAAAATATAAAAATTAACTGAAAACTAAAAATCGTTTATGTAATTTTTTTAGGGCCGGTTTCATCAATCCTCGATTAATCGGGATTGTCAATCGTAATTGATCAATTCTACTAAACAGCAAATAATGCGGTTGATCAGTTAATGACCGATTATAGTTAATGGCATTGATAAAATCGGCTCTTATTGTTAAAATATAAGTACATCGAAATCAAAAACTTCGTATCAATTATAGAGACAATCTGAGAAAAAATATATTTTTTCTTTTAAGTCATGTATTTTTATGTAAACTACACAAAAATTACGTTATTTAATTGTGTATAGATTTAATTATCGAATCAAAAGTTTAAAATTTTGAATATATAAAGATTTCATGTCTAAGCAAATACAAGAAGAAATATAAATAATTTTTTGAATCGTATATATAGTATATTTTTCCATTTTTTAAATAATTTATAATTAAGTTTAATTTATTTGATTTTTTTTCTTTTTTGATTATTACTTATATATTTATTTATATATAACATGTATAACTTTAATAATTCAGTTCCAGATACAAACAAAATATAAATGCTCGACTAACGTATTTTCCCAAATATAATTTTTCCAGAATTGTCATAAGTACTTCCAAAGACGTTTCCAAGATGTTTCTCGCAAAACTGTTGTGGGTTAATAGTCCTTTAAAATAGCGAATCTAAACTTGTATGGATTAATTCATTAATCTAAAAATAATCATTTGAAAACTAAAAAATTAAAAATATTTTGTGATGAAAATGAAAAATATTTTCAAAATTTTTTTAATTACAAAAAATATGATTTGCATAATTTCTTTAGGAACTTATAAAGATATAAACAAATTTTGTAATTTTTTCCTGATTTACTATTCTTAACAGATGTGTAATTTGTTATATTTCGTTATCATCATATTTTGTTTGATTTTATTTTGATTATTTTTTTTAGTTTTTATTTCACTTTAAATTCAAAATTTTTTAAGGGTTTCGAGCAACACAAGCTTAATGTAATACAATAATAGGTCTGTTCTTTTTGACTGAATTTTGACCAGTTCATTTTTCTTCCTCTTCTTTCTTCTTAGAGAGAAAAGAAAGGAAGATGAACTGGTGCAAAAGTTTAGTCAAAAGAGAACAGGCCTAAATTAAATCGATAAATCGAAAGTGCAGAAAAGTGTAATGCAAACGGTACATTTTTGATGAAGATGCCGCCATCTAGGAGCCAGGTAACGATATCTCGATTGCCTCGTATGTTCGCTGTCAGCCAATCGATGTTCTATTGGAGGGGGTAGGAAGGGGGGGGGGGTTTCGAACCCGTGGAGTCAAGTCTATTGACATTCCGATGTTCTGAATTGTTTTCATTTTAGTGTATGGTGCAGGTATTATTACTCAAGCACGGATTCCATTGTGGCGAAAGACATCTTTTGTTTTAAGGTACACAAGATTATGCATATCAAATAATTGACAATTGGACATCGAGATCAATAAAGCGTCGTATGTCCTCTGGCTTACGCTGACTCTAACCTTTTTCGACTTGCCGCAACATACTGATCGTTAATTAAAACGGCTTCATAATTCTTTCTCGTTTTACATGAAGCAAAATATTATTTTTATTTTAGTTGTTTTTAGTTTATTTAGTTGTGTGTCATTTCGATATTTTTTTTCTTCACTGTATCAAGTTTAGAGAGAAAAATTATCGAAAAGAAACTTTTGAGCACAAGAACCAGAATTTTACTTCGGCCCTGAAAGTTTTTGCTTAAATATGTATTTTTTTTTAAACATTTGATGCCATATTATTGTTGTAGAATTCAGTTTTTGCATTTGTCCAAAAAATTTCTGTATAAAAATATCTGTAAATAATTAAAGGATATAAGACTTAATTCTAAGTGATGGCCAGAATGTATAATTAGTTTCAAAAACTAGTTATAACTAATTTCGAAAACATGTTATCAATTCGTAAGCACTACAACAAAGATGTTTTCGATATTTAAAATTATATTTAAAAAAACAAAAGATAAACGATAAAGATTGCGAGTCAATGCAGGATGTTAAGTATTAATGTGAATTTTAATCTTATAATAATTTAAATACAATGATACGTTTCGACCCTCATTAGTCAGTCTCAGTAACAAAAATATATAAATGAAATGATCGCAAAATTACAAAATAATAAATTACCGAATAATATAAATGTTCAAATAATTTGTAACGAAGACAAAAGATATTAAATAATATATAATTGAAGTCTATTTAACATTAAAAAAAACATTTTTTCAGGATTTAGATAATTATTTTTAATACGGTCTTCTAATCATAAAACGGTCTTCTACAATCTACAATTAAACTTAAAAGATTTGTTTCTCATTTCTATGTTAAGAAAAATAATTGAGTGTCTCCACTAAAGTCGTTTGATTATTTTGGTCATTATGACTGCAGTCAATAAAAGACTAGATCTTGAGAACAATTGCTGTTCTGTTTCAGTTCCGGAGGAGAAGTTAATTTAGAGCAATGTTCCAGTGGGCATATGGTGGTGTGAATGGCTCTATACCACGCAATGTCGGTCCGGAATGCGCGAGTTACTTAACACTGAAACGACGGATAATAGAAACTTTGTTTATATCTGTATTTATTATATCTTGTATTATATGGGGTCTCAAACGAATAACTTTGCCAAAGAAACTAGCTTACGTTGGCCAGGACCGTGTAGGCAGGCGAGTCTTGTTGATTATGATGTCATTGGTCCTGGGGATGGAAATCGGTTTTAAATTCACCAGCAGAACTGTCATATATCTATTAAATCCTTGTCATATTACAACAGCATTACAGGTAAGCTTTTTTGAATTATATTATAATAAATTATATTTTATTTCTATAATAAATTAAATTTTATTTCTTACAAATCAAGTTAACAAATTTACTATGTTTACTATAGTTTTTACTATGTTTACTATATTTTCTATTACAAAACAGTTATATTTGCTGGCTGCGGATCCTAGCCCAATGGTCACTACTATCTTTAGGATACATTTGAATCTGTTGAATGGACCGGTATTAGCATATCTATTTCCAGAAACAGAGTCTCGCATTGTAAGTCATAATTATGCAATTAAATATATTATGTAAAATGAAATTTTTAATAAGATTTTTTTACAGATATTTGCAGACAAAGCATTGTACTATATTCAGCATGGTTTGATGCTTATAATACCATATTATTTATTGAGGATTGGAGGTAATTATGTGAGGATTGGAGGTATTATTTGAATAAGAATAATAGAGTAGATGAATAATAATATTGTGTTACTCTTTCCATTATCCAATTTATATATAATATTCCATTAGGTGTATATAATATTGAGCCCTTATCTGATATGAGCTGGTCAATCCTCAGTTATGGCCTTAATGTAGGATATCACTTTTGGATTGTTCAAAGTGTTGCCTTGGTTTGTACATTCTTGTTACATAGATGTTATAATCCTTTGAAAATCTATGTGCAATATTATTTGTTCTTTGTAGCCTGTACAGGTGAATCTTAGTCATATGTTATGTGCAGCTGTTTTGGATCCATTTGAAGGTCAAAATTATCGATTATGGGCAGTAACTCATCAATTAATATTATGTCCCACTTTGTGCAAGCTGTTTTGTTATATATCTAATTTTTTATTGACTAAGTTTCCATTAACTAGAGTTAAGCCATCGCTGGAATGCATTATTCCAAAAAAAAATTATACATATGAACAGAATGAAAAATTATGTGAAGAATCTAACACCTCAGGAAATGGCCATACACATTTTGATTAATATGGAAGAGAAAATTGTTTTATCAGAGGTATGTTTGAGCACATCCATCTTGATTCAGTGAGTATATATATTTACTATTGCATCACCAAAGGTTATATAAGAATATTTAAATATAAGAAATGACACAGATTTTTACATATTTTTACATAATGTACATTTGCATTCGTAATCATGCACATATTGATTCTATCATAAATTATAGATATATAAGAATATCAGATTTTTCTTCCTTACAGATTAAAACAATTATAATTATGTCTATTATATCATTTCCTAAATATGCTGTACAAGGAAACTAAAAATGGGAGATAGGAAAAAATGAATTTCTGACAGATTTAATTGTGTTACAGTCCAACACAAACAATTAATATATTTCCAGTAAAAACTTTTATTTAAAAAATATTAAAAAGATTTTTGTTTTTTTTGGAAGATTAAAATCTTTCATAGATACATACATAAGTTACCAAATAGATAACTTGATACAATCGTTGTGATTATATTAGTTTCAATTCATTAGTACATAGTATCAAACGAATAAGAATAGTCAATTTGAAATATGAATTTCTGTCCAAATATTATCATGCTAGCTTATCATGCCTAGTCTTGCAGAATCTCAAAGAGGCTTAAACTGACGTTTGATAACAATGGTTCATTAAAAATATAATTACATTAGATAAAAATACATTGTATACAAACCATTTTGTGCCACCATTTTATATTCATTTTTAATATTTTTATTTTCGCAATAGAAATAAAGGTATTCAAATAATGAAACTGCAATATTTTATCTATGTATTATACATAATAAATAGGCATAAAGTAAAAGTTTACGAGGTTTTATGGTAAATCTTCTTAGCACGGTCCGAGGCGCATTAAAAAAGGCCCAATTGTCTTAATGATACAAACAATGAAATAAAAATTTGCTTTAACATCAAATATTTTATTTTTAGAGAACAAAAATTTCTTTGTAAAGTGATTTTGATAAGAAAATTCTATTTACATATAGTGGTTGTAACATCTATATAATTATTAATTATTTCAAAGAAACTATACGTTTTTTAACTTTCTTTTTTAATCTGAATTCAATAGTCATAAAAATTTTAATAAATCATAATTGATATTATATCGTATATTATCATTGAAGGAGACTGAAGGAAATTGTTATTGATAAAAAGTTCATGATTAATACTGCCCATTTTAGAAGGCAAATTGTGAAACTTCGTAAATTTCCTCAGTTTAAAAATGCATATAATGTAATATAAGTATTTTGGCCTCAGGTATCATCTCTTAGGTTTAAACATTAATAATTCTTAGGTTTAAACATAATCGGGAGACCATAAAGAGCTGATAAAGCATTTTATGACATATACAATGCTCTTATTTTGATAAATCTACGATTCTATTTGCGAAAGTCATGTATACGGAAATATTTTTTATATGACAGTTCCTATCTAATTACATACTATACGAATTTTCGCATACGAAAATATATCCTTATTATAATAGTGAGAAAATTTTAGAATTTAGAATTCGATTTTTGCGGTGTATATTATGTTATAGTATATTATGATAATAAATAGATACATGCATAGATTGTTAATGCTTTCGTCCAGACAAAAATTAAAATTTAAAATAGCTCTCATGGATGAAAACTAACGTCCATTTTATGTCCTTTCAACTTTTCCATATAAATTTTTTGTGTAATAAATTTCTGTAAACGTTGTTGCTTTAAAATAGATCCATGTTGTTACAGATTTAGACTAAAGCAAAACAATTTCAGTAAGCTGCCATTAAAGAAAGAAATTTATTTTTTAATGAAAACAGCTTGATAGTACGATATTCATGTTATTAGTATCTAATATTGATAATAATAGTAATATTAGTGACATTGTATAGAATTGACTTAAAATAACGATATAGAAAAATTTAACTTATATAATCTTGTAATTTGAATATAAG